GCGCTGGCCCGGAGCGGCGGCCGCGCCCTGACCCGGCGCTCTCCCCTTGCCGGGCGCTGACCTGCTTGTGACCTACAACACGGACCGTGACATCTGCGTGAACCCGGCCGGCAACCGCGCCAAGTTCACTGTCTATCAAAATAACGAGATACGGTGGCCTGAGCACCGATAATTGCCACAGGAAGGCTTTATTATCTCCCCAGCTGTGTATTCCCCAGCCATCGGCTCGAAAAGAATCAAATGGTAAAGAGTGAAAGGGATAATTAAAAACATCTTGGAAGGGGGTCAAGAAATTAACAGCCTAATATGAACAAACTTTGATTACAAGTAACAATTATTACACTTCATTTGTAAATGCTCGTGTTTATCTGCAAACAAAATCAGTTTCTAGTCTTTTTTTTTTTTTTTTAACTAGATTCATGTTACATTTTTCAGCGGGTGGCTACAGGGCTCGTTAGCGCTCGGGGTAATTTTTATGCGGGCTGCTGGAGGAGCCCCGTCCCTTCCATACCCGGTGCTGGGCACTTGCAGACCCAGCCCTGCCCACAGCCCTGCCCACAGTGGGAGCCTGCATCGCCCGTGGGTCACAGCCACGCCAGCAGCTCTTGCTAATTAAAGTTAGTCATTGCCACTCTTGCAGCCACCGCCTACTGATTTCACCTCTGATAGCCAGAAAGATTCACCTTTCAGGACAAGGTCAGGAGGGGCAGAGGCTCTGGTTCACTACAGGGTCGGCCTGCCAACGGCACTTAGCCCAGCAGTTCAACCTCTTCCAGATTTGACCTGTTGCATCTGGGAGCCGCATTTCTGCCCCAGGTAGCGTTGTCCTCGCTGCGCAGCCCTCTGACAGCTAACGGCAGCGCATGCCTGGCTGCGGTGCCCCAGCATGGATGTGCAAGGGGGACTGGCCAGGGCGAGGTCATCTGTAACCTGGCATTGAAGCAGGATGATGACAGGGGTTCAGGGGACAGGGGAGCTCCCCAGAGCCTTTCCAAAGGGACTCTGTCCTCATGCCACATATCTGGCCTCACAGGTCAGGCTGCTGCTGGTTCTTCATACAGAGCACACCGTGCCACCAGGATGCACCAGGATGCACTGGAAGGACAAGGCAGATGGTTTCCCCCACTGCTTCCATGCAGGACACCTGATGGTGGAGAGCAGAGGGGAAGCTGAAAGGAGTTTATAAACACATGCCAGTGGAGCAAGGACCTGGGCCCGGCTCTGTTCTCAGTGCACAAGCAACAGGACTCACTTCATTTTACATGGGAGAGAAATACCCCGTGTCTCAGTGAGGCTCAAAAGCCACCTAAAAAAGGTGCCCTCAGCACCCAGGCTTAGTCCCAGGTACCACCCCCTGGATGGACCCACAGAGCTGCTGTCCTGGCATTTTCCCTGGCAGAGCTAGGCTGCGGGAGGTGACATGGTCAGTCTGGCCAGCCAGCCACCACGGGGCCTGGGTCACCTTACAAATGCTCCCTCTGCGATGTGAACAGCATCATCAGGAACAGGGGACTTTCTACCACAAATCAGACATATTCAGGAATGTCTGTTTTGCAAATGTTTATTCCCCAAAGCCCCCTCACTCCAATCCCTCTGGCAGGCTGTGGCTGGGGAGTGCATCCTGCAGAGACCCCAGAGAGGGGCTTCATGGCAGACCCCGAGCAGCAGCACGGTGCTCGGGCACAACATACACAGCTACTACTACTGGGTGAATGAGATACGTCCTCTTTGTGCCGGCTCTAATGGGAAGTGAAGGAATGAGATTAAATATTTACAATAAAAACCACTTTGCACCCTATTATTCTAGCTACAGCTGACGCCATGGCTTGGGCAGCCCTGGCCTGTGTTCTCCTGCAGAACCCCCCCATCTTCCCTCTTTTTACATCTAAAAAGCTACAGTGTGCAGGATGTCTGTCCTGCCTCTCCTACAACACACCCACAGGAGATAACCCTGGGACAGAAAAGCTCTGGGAGCCTTAGCTGTGGGGCTGGGAGTTTTGCTCCCCATCCCTGGTGGCTGGCGACCTGCATGGGGCAGGGGCTGGCTAAGCCCCCATGGGGGATGCTCTCTGTCAGCAGCTTCAGCGGGTTTTGCCCCCGGGGTGGGGCTGAGGCTCACCCCGATGCTCAGGAGCAGGACTCTGCAGGACCCTCCCTACCGGCTTGCAGACCAGGAGGGGAAAAATAAAAAGACCTTTGGGGTTTTGTTCTGCAGTGACCCAGTGCCATACCCAGCCTGGGGCAGCAGAAACCTGCCCCTGGCAGCCGTGGAGGGGCATCGATGCCAGGGCTGAGGGGGGCAGCGTACCCCTGGCTCAGGCTTCGCTGCCGTGGCCGGGCTGCAAGGGGTGGAAGTAGAGCTGCAGCCCATCGTCGACAGGGTGCACGATGGGCACGGTCTGCATGGCGGGGTAGCCAGGGGTGGCCAGCTCCCAGCGGGCCGTGCTGACCAGCTCGATGGCCAGCAGCTTGAGGATGGCCTGTGCCAGCTCCTTGCCGATGCAGCTCCGTGCCCCACCGCCAAAGGGGATGTAGTGGAAGCGGCCTGCGGCCTCCATCCGGGCGGCACCGAAGCGGTCTGGGTCGAAGCCGCCGGGAGGGCTCTGGTAGATGGCGGCTGTCTCATGCGTGTCACGAATGCTGTACATGACGCTCCAGCCTTTGGGGATCTGGTAGCCCTGGGCAGGGGAGAGAAGAGGGGAGGAGAGGAGCATTACACACTTGTGCAGCCAGCTGTGCTAGTGGAGGGTGAGCAGAGGGTGCCTGGGGACAGCCCTACCACATCGCCCATCTGCTCCACAGCTCCTTTTCTCCCCAGCCCAGCTGGGACCCACAGAGGTTGCTGGGTGCCACCTTCCCCTGAGCTACACTGCCAAGCACCACCACTGGGCCGGACACAGGGTGCTTGCAGACAGTGGCAGGCAGCAGCTCCCTAGCAGCCCATCGGCGTGCAAGGCACTTACGTCCAGCTCAAAAGTCTGCAGTGCTGTCCTGTAGCCTCCGGAGACGGGTGGCAGCACCCGCAGCACCTCCTTAATCACACAGTCCAGGTAGCGCAGGCGGCTCAGCTTCTCCAGGCTGATGTCTGAGGGGCAGCGACAGCTCTGCCCTGATGGCGCCCGAAACTGGGGGCCAGCGCAAGGACCGCTCTGGGGGAGGGTGGGCTCTGGCAGGGTGTGGGGCTGGGGGGAACCGTCCTCCATTGGGCACAGAGGCTGGCTCTGGTCCTCGTGAGCATCTTTGGCCGTAGGGCGGAGAAGTGGCTTCTCACTGTCCCTGCTCTGGGCAGTCAGGGTGTCTGGGCAGGGTCCCACAGGGCAGTGCTCACACTGCTGGTACAGCTCATGGGACTTCAGCTCCTGCCTTATTTTTTCAATCACTGAGGGGTGCTTCAGTAGTAGGAGGATCAGAGAAGTGCTGGCACTAGCCGTGGTGAAAAAAGCAGCAAATATGAGCTCAATCGCTGACTCCTGAGAGAGGAAGGAAGGTGACAAGTTTGAATGCCATTTTAAACTGGTTGTGATTCAGATTGTTCTCACCTTTTGCAGGTTTTGTGTCTGTGCAGAGGGTCCTGCTCCCCCACCCCCACTCTCCACAAACCTGCACCTACCCTGGGTTGGCAGGGACCAAAACAAGACACCTTGTTCTTCCATTTCTGTACAACCGGGACATCCACTTGCCAACTAACTGATGCAGAAACATAACTGAGATGAGTACACATCACCTCCGATCCAGCTCTTCTGAGCTTTCCTCCCCCAAATTACAAATTTTAAAGAAGCATTTTAACATGCATTTTAGCATACCGAGTGAAGTTCATTTCAAGCATTACACTTTTTACCTTCATCTGCCAAGTCCCCTTTGCACCCAGCTTTTACCTTTTTGCCCAGCCAGTGGTTATGAGGCTGTGTGTTTATGCATAAATCCTAGATGTGCTGGCACCTAAAATGGGTTGCATTTGATCCATCTCCAGTTATAATTGACCATTTGCTTGTCTGGGAGGGGAGTCAAACCAACACAGTTGAAAAGAGAAAGATGTCCCTGCTACAGCAGGTCAGCCCGGGAGGTGCCGTAGCCGGCAGGGAGCTCTCCCGCAGGGATGCACACACCAGGCAACGGATTTGCTCGCTTTTCAAACTTTACAGCCTGAAGCACAGCAGTGTTCCTGACAACTCCGTAGCAGATGTGTCCGTAACAGGTTAGGAGGTTAACCAGCTCAGACGGACCACAGCATGGTCAAATCCGTAATACGTGCCTTGTCCCAGCTCACGGATCCCCACGCAGCCTCCCAGTCTTTCAGGGACTGTCTGCAGGGTCTATATGGCACAGCACATGTCAGGTTGCTGTGGGCTGTTTGCAGCACCCTGTGACCAGCTTTTGGCAATTGTTTTCCAAAAGTTAAGGGTTGCCCGGACCTGGGTCATGGTATGTCACATCTCTGACAGCCAACAAAATGCTCAAACTTACAGCACCACCTGAAGGTGCCAGCGGCTCCCTGGGCTGGGAGCACTGAGGCCAGATCCAAAAGCCATGGAAGAAGCCCAAGGGAGGAGCACAGGGACCTGCCACCCGGGGAGGCGCTGGGACCTGGCTGGCACTACCGAGCACTAATCGCTCCAGCAAAGGGGCAAAGCGGAGCAAAATCCCCAGGGAAACGGACCAGTTGCCTTTCACACAGCTATGTGTCTGGATTTAAAATTGTTATGACACAACTGGTTTCTGGAGAGGCGAAGCCAAAAACACAGGGAAGGATACCTGAAGCCTGAAGGTACCTGGACCCAAGTCTGGTAAGGTCAAGGGTAATGTAACAAGGATTTCTCTTTGCTACCGTCCCCAGCGCCATATATTGACTGGACTAGAGGCTTTTGCCAAAGTGCAGCTCTCAAGGGCATCTTTCAGATGAAATAAAACCTCTGAAATAACAGACCCCTGTCGACCCCTATCGTACCTCCTGCAGGCGTTAGCAGGAATTTTTACATTCACAAGATAGCAGGCCCAGATGAAAAGAAATCTCTCAGTTCCACCATTTGCAATTAAAACCCAACATTTCAATACAATGTGAGGAATTTAGGGCAGGCTCTGTGATTTGAAATAACAGCCTTTATGACTCCCTGCATCAACCTCTGACAGTGCTGCTGCATGAGTTGTGACACCGAGCTGCTGACTTTCCCTCCCTGCTTTTACAAGGCCAACATAACCGGTGACTGGGAGGCAGCATCTTCCCACAGCTTCACCAGTATTGTCCCTGTACTACAGCCTGACTCCCCATCCTGGGAGGCAGGACTGGTGGCATTACAGTTCCACCTGTCCAGCCAGAGACAGCACTATTATATAGAATGTTGTTTGGTTTTTTTTAAATCCTTCCAAGGATTTACTGTTTTAAAACAGTACTTTTGCCAAAGTGACATCTTTTTAACAACGTTTACACTTCAAGGGTCCTGCTGAGTTCATGCCAGCAGTGCAAATCACAGTGTATTTAGGAAAATTTCTGGGAAAATGGTCCTTCAAAATTGTTTGAACAAAAAACAAATTAGTAACTAGTGTGTGCCAGTGTTTGGAGTGTCTCTCAAAGTCAGATATATCCACAACTCTGAGAGAGCTTTGGACTTTTTATGAGAGCTCTACTACTGTTTTATTAGAGTGGAGAATATTGGCATAATTGCAAGCATAGGCAGTTTGGTTTGCAAGTCATTTTGTTAAATACAGACAAGGTAGAAATTTTCTAACTGTAAAGGTACAGGACAGCATAGGAATATAGTATCATTTGAATCAGCTAGCCCGAGGTCACTGCCACATCACTCCGCGTTACATTTAATATCCCTTTATTCCTACTGTTAGTGTCTATTTGTGGTCCAAGCCAGGGACACAATGAGAGATCATGTAATTGTTTGTGGGTAATATCCATGTGAATACTAACAGAGATTAATCAATCTTAATCAATCACATTTTGAATCTGGCAGTTATTTTTTAAAACATAATGATAATAAAAAACATTCTATTAGAATAAATAATAAATATTTAGAATAAAATTACTTTAAGAATATATGCTAGTTTTAAATGTATCTAATAGTCACTGTAAAGTCTTTCAAATATTTTAGACTTAGACATTACACTTTTACAAAATATTTATGAAACATTAGTCTTTAGATAGTTTTCCTTACATACCTAAATAAACGGTAAAACTATGTATGTTCAATACTTTCAAACTACATTCAGCTGCTGAAGCCATGCAAAACTGCTTCAAAACTTGTTATAGAAATGCAGTGCCATCTGTCATCCACTGACACCAAGTGACCTGGAGCTACGAATGATGCAGTACCAATGACAATTTTTTCCCAAGATCTTTGGCAAAATACTCTTCACATTCAGTTGGTAGTTTTGGCTCAGTGAGGACTACTGGGTTCATCCCTAAGTCACAGTAATGCATCATGTTGCATCATAGCAATCCACAAGCTAGATGATCTAATTAATGATGAGGTGATAGGGAATGACCCGGAGTCCGTCATTCCATCCCTGGACCCATTTTGACATACTGCCTCAGAGACTTCTGGGCTCACAGCCCTGAGGACATGATCTACACGCCGTGCCATGCTAGATGCTGGAGGAGGTTTGAGGAACACACAACAAGCTCTAAATATTTCCAAGATCGTACCTTGGAGGTTACTGAGTGCACACTGACGTACAAAGCCTTAGCAAAGCCACATAACCCTAAGAGCACCCTAAGTCAGGCTGAAGCCCAGTGGCCATGAAGAGGAAAGGTAGAAGAGGCATTTATTCCCATTTTAAATACCAGCTCTCTTCTAACGCCAAGAGACACAATCCTATGAGAGCATCTGAGCACGCCGAGTCCAGGCATTCTCGCTTGCGCTGGAGATAGTGACCTCAGAGTTGGTAGGAGGAGGGCAGGAGCCAGCAGCTGGTGATGTGTCCCCACACAACCCTCCTCCTGCCCCTCAGCCCGGGTCTCTCAAACAGCCACCAGGTCAGAAGGGACACTGCAAGGGAGGGTTCGCCTTACCTTTAGCTCCTGCATGGTGAATTCTTTGCCGTGCTCCTTGGCACTGTTTATTATGAAATCCAGAGCATCGCTGTGATCTTCGGGGTTGTTTCTCTGCAGTTTTTCCTGTATAGCCTTCTCCATAAACTCATGTAGCATGTCCCGTGCTTTGATTCCCTGCGGGAGGCAGACACAGTTCAGGAGAGCCTTAGGAACCGTCCCCCTCACCAGAGAGACCGGGGGACCCTAAGTGTGGCAATCCTTAATCCCAGGATCTGTAACAGCAAGAACTGTTTAATCTGTTGCCCAGCCCCAGAGCCTTGCAAGAGGCAGCAGTTTGGGGAGAACTGCTGCAAATTCAGTTGCCTTGCTGTTGTGAATCAAATACGACAAGTCCCAAGAAACACTCTGAGAGGAAAAGACAGCAGTAAACCCACGGTACCGAGTCCAGAGGCGTCTGCGCCGAACAAACCCAAGGTCTTGTCAGGTCCAAAAGAAGCTTGTCCAAAGGGACAAGAAGGGGTAACTTAATAAAACTGAGTCCGAAGCAAGGAACATCTGAGACAGGAACAAATGAGTGGCTTTACCAGAGTATATTGGATAAAGGCACGTGAAGCGCACCAAGCTCATCTCCAGTTGTATTGCACTCCTGTGCAGCAAAATGTTTAGGAAGATGTCAGTGAGTCAAGTATCAGCAATTTCTTTGCAAAGTGGGGATGGATGGAGTCACAGAGTGTGTGGCTGTGTAGCAAGATGCCTCCTGCAAAAGTCAGAAGGACCAAAGATTTGGGATGAAAAATGGCCATGACGAGATGTTGGGAAGAAGATACAAAGGCCGGGAGTTGAGGTGGGAAGGACTGGACAAAGGAAACAGGACAGCGAGCAAGGGGAAGGACAAGGGGACCTAAATGCCAGTTGAAGAGGTTGGTTTGGGGCCAGACAGGCTGTGGCTGACCTGGGAGAAGGCAGGGAGGGATAGGATGGGGGGTGAAACCTCGCACTGGTGACAACCTGCAACGGGGAACTGGACAAGGAAAACAAGAGCTTTGAACTGGTGGAGAAGAGCAGCAGGGAGGCTGGGGGAGAACTGGCACCAGATGGGTAAGGTGATCCAGTGGGGCAGAGCTCACAGGGGAACTAAGAGATTGGGCAAGCCCCGGCTAAAGGGGCAGGAGACTTGAGCTGTGGTAAGGGTGGAGAACCCAAAGCCAGAGGAGGTAACACAGACTGAAATGGGAGGGGAGGGGTGGGACGCAGGATCGACACCTAGAGCCGGAGTGTCGGGAGGCAGGCAAAGAGGGTCAGGACAGCAGGGAAGAAACTGCGGGTTGAAAGAAGCTGTCTCTCTGCTGCTGAGGGACAAGGGACCAAAGACCGTAAGTGGGTCTCGAAGTCCTTGGCCTGCCCTGAGGTGCACAGGGAGTGCTGACCTGAGGCGTGCTGTGCCCACCTGCCTTTGCGCTCATGCCCACGGACCCCTCTACCGTGGGCTGACATGAGTCCAGGCGGGATGAGATGGGACAGGACCAATGTGATGGACTAACCAGAGCCAACACAGGCAACATGCGGGGTGAGGGAGGAAAGGAGCCCCTCGCTGTACAATGAGCTGGAGCCAGCACAGGGAGGTGCTGGAAGCCAACGAGGGGCAGGTGAGAAGGGGAGACGGCTAGGGTGGGCAAGGCACCAGGCCCTCAGACCCGTAACGGGGTGCTGCAGAAGTCCCAGCCCATCGGAAGCGCCCCTCGGCGGGCCTGGGGATGGGGGGTCTGTGCTGCCAGGGCCCCGGCCCCTGCCTCCAGGCAGAGGGAGTGGGGCAGGCGGCAGTACCTTGCGCAGCCCGCTGAAGGGTATGTTGAGGGGCAGGGAGAAGAGGTTCTCCACCAGCTGTTCAAAAGTTTTGGCCAGGTCCTTGAACTGGTTTTCCTCCAGGCGGAGCCCCAGCAGAATCTGAGCTGCAATGCGGAAAGTTAAGGTTTTAGCGGAGGAATAAACTGCGATGGAGCCCGGCTCCATGCACCAGCCCCGCAGCTCCCAGCTCACGACCTTCTGGATCCGTGGCAGGTAGCTCTCCAGGGCGGCGCGGCTGAACACTCTGGCCAGGATCTAGGAGGAGAAGGGGGGGAACAGAGGCAGGCGGTTAAAGCGGGGGGCCCCACGTGCCACCGAGACCCAAGCCTGGGCAGGAGGTGCCGCCCGGGCTGCGCGTCCCATCGGGGCGGCGGCGAGGCTCACCTTGCGGCGCTGGCGGTGCAGGTCACCGATGGAGCCGAGCAGGGTGTGGGAGCCCAGGATGATCTGGGTGCTCTGGGGCCACTGCGTGCTGACCAGCGTGTGCTCACCCAGCAGGATCTTGCGGATGTTGTCGGCGCCCGTCACCCGCACCACCGGCCGGCCCAGGAGGTGGGTCTTGAACACGTTGCCGTACCTCTCCCGCCGGGAGCTGTGGAAGCGGGAGCCCTGCGGACGAGCCGCGGGTCAGCCCGGCGCTCCCGCCGGCCCCTTCCCTCCCCGTCCCCCTGCCCCTGCGCCTTACCTGGAGCAGCCAGTGCAGGGTCTCCCCGAAGAAAGGCCAGCCCATGGAGCCCCTGGGCAGGGGCAGGGCGCTGGCGCGGTCCCGGCTGAGGCTCCAGCGCAGCGCCCACAGGTGCCGGCACAGGGTGACCAGCAGCGCCAGGGCCAGCAGCGCCGGCGCCGC